GGTAGATGTCTAAAGGATCTAGGTATGAATTACAATCACGAGTGTGAATGAATGCTTATTCATCACCTACGAATAAGCTCACACCTATTCTCACAGTGGACTGTTTTCTTACTCCTATCGTCATTTCCATGCTAGTTCGACTTCACACCGAACACTGATTATGTACACGTGACAAACACGAGATTGTTGACCCATTTTTTTACAAAATACTACCTTACACGCTACTCTGCACTCTATCTTAGAGACTTTTCTTTCACACTTCTAATATTCCAGATTCCACACTAACTACTTCGTTCACACTCGAGACTCTAACTCGTTAGAGTCACACGAAACTTCCATTCACGCGATAAACGTTTACACGAACTTCTTCCGCTACTTTCGTGTCTCCCACAGAAATGGGTGGCACACGTTGAGAAGCACCCTGTACATCCCAGAACACCATGATCAACTGGAAAATATGCGGACTCTCTGACCAAGCAGCGACACACATAGCTAGAGGAGGGCTCAAGCCCATTATGTTCAGCTTGTACTCGATGCATATACGCCGGATGCGTTTAGGTTGAACGATACGATGCCGCATTATGTTCCCAACCAGCGGCACGATACGTATGCATTCCGCGTACCGTATGCAACGCGGCTGCCTGCTGCTCTACCGTCGAGGGTGGAAACGGAGGGGAGGGAGGTAAATTGCTAAAAGATATCTCCCCCTTGGGATTCGACGGGGATAGGTTATAACCTGGCCCGGACTCTACCTAGCTTATGTAGAATACATTGCCTCCGGTACCGTTTCTCCTACAACGTTCCCTGTGTTCGTTTGTCCGCTCTCGTGTAACTATTCACGTGTGCGTTTACGCGTGTTTCAACGTAGGGGAACGCCAGCGGAGTCGGAGGCACACACGGCGTCCTACTCTCCGCCAAACATCCGAAACGTGGACCGGAGAGAAAGCGTTGACATCCCACGGGGAATTGTTCAATTTTAGCTGAAGCTCATCTCTAGCCCTACCCGCGTGCAGGAAACGCGTCCCCGTAGATTACGCAGGCGTGGGTACGATCAACGGGGAAATATCACACGGCGTTTCCTGCCAGCCGTCTCTGACCTTAATTGGAAAGACGAGAGCTGGGGAAAAGGAGGAAAGGACGTCGAGGATCGCGGATGCCTGAGGAGAGCGCGGCCGCCGTCCTGCGTACCACCGCAAGACGAACGACCAAGGAAATTCCGCATTTCGTAGGAAACGCTCGCAGCCACTATTTCACCCGTGCGTTGATGTATCGCGCTAATCCATAAGTGTACGCCTATGTGTATTTTTCCCGGGTAAAAGTTCCATGAAAAAGTGGAATTTTTTTATCTTGTCTGACTACGCTCTGACTTATTCTACTTGTTTTTCGAATAATTTGATTTTCTCTCTGGAAGCGCTTCTGTTTGTGTATCTGTGTGTACGATTTTCTTTCTCTGCTCGTTTTTTTTTCTCGTTCTTTTTAATTTAAATGGTCGTTTTTACATGGTCATTTGTATTATTTTTCACAGTGACACATTCCCGCTACGAATCTCTGAAATTACTTCTGGGATTTCATTCCGCGCCGCCCGGTGGCCATTCTACCCCGGGCTCCATTTTTAGAAATTTATTGCCTTCAGAAGCGCAATAACGCTTCGAAAATGCACGCTGCTTTTAAATAATTAACAACGTTAAAGAAACTAGCTGGCGCGTAATGTATCCAAACATGCTATTCAAGCAATGGGCACGTATCGCGGGGATCCGTGTTGTATCTCGCTACGCGATAGCCAACCAACGTTTACGCTTCTAACTTGATGTATAGGGGCAAACAGCGAAGTTACATATAAAACAGCTGATAAATGGCCACGTGGTGGTACACGGTATTTCCCTGTTAATATTTCCACAACGGATATAAAATCTTCATGATCGCGTTTTCGGTAAGTCGCGCGGCGAGAATTTTTACATTTCTCACCCGCTCTCTCTACTTTACACCGCCGAAAATAACGTAATGCACGTATTACCAGATTAAAAATCCTTTTTACCACGTACGTTTCGTCGTCCTTTGAAAACAAACGAACAAAAATCAACACCATCGCGTTAATATATATATTTTTTGGGGGACATCTCGATAAAAGCATCCTGATGAAAATAAATTCGTGCACACCTAAGTGCATGGATATATGTGTGCTCTCGTGTTTCGATAAGTAAAAACGATCGAGCAACTCTTCTCGTAGATGGAAAGCCTGTACTTTTCTTTTTTTTTTGTTCCTGCTAACGGAGCCACCTGCGAATCGTTCATCATGGCAGTAATGCATCCTGCATCAACCAGGTTTCTCTTTTCTCCCTTTTTGGCCGAGGATCAAGCAGGGAGAACGATCACCGACGCGTACCACGGAGAAGAGGCACAAGCAATATTCCGTTCCCTTTCCTTCTACGCCGTTTTCCGCCCCCTGTCTTCCTCGAAACCCTCTCCTGGCACGAAGAGACCACGAAGCTATGCAACCCCCGGTAATGCGCGCATCAATAACCTATCATATCCAACGTTCTAGATGGTACGCGATGCTATAGCAAAACCCCAACCCTAAGGCGTGCCGCCGATCTTCTCGAGCTTGTAACTGGAGTAAATGTATCTGCTACTCGAACTGGAAGCCTCGAACGCCGTCTATAATTTTGCTTGAGATAAATATTGCACCGGAAACGGGAACAGAAAGGTTGATGTTCTCGTACGCGTGTAACATTCGAAGATGAAAAATTGCTAACAATGTTGTGGTGTCGTAAATATGTTCCCTTCTTCTTAGGTAGATGTAAGAGGTATCGGAGAACGAGGGTAGGAAAACAGAAAGTGAGGATCGACAGACGTAAGCTGGGCTTATCGGGGAAACCCTCGATGACGCAGGAGGCTCGTGGATCACTTGACCATTTTTAATGGGAAAAGCCTGAAATAGCGTGCGTGTATTTTGGGAGAGAAAGAAGGGGAAGGAAGAGTTTTTCTTGGGATTTTCTTGGGAAGAGGCGTGAGAGTGTTGGAGATAGAGACTTAGAGATCGCTCGATCTTAGGAAAAATTGAGTGTTGTATGAATCGTCGGAGTATTAAGACAGAATGTCGGGGTCGCTCAATTTTATGAAAAAGTGAGCGTTGCATGAGTCGTGAAAGTATTGGAGATGGAGCCTTAGAGATCGCTCAATTTTATGAAAAACTGAGAGCGTTGCATGAGTCGTGAAACTATTGGAGATGGAGCCTTAGAGATCGCTCAATTTTATGAAAAACGAAGCGTTGTATGAGTCATCGGAGAAGTGGAGATACAACCTTAGAGATAACTCAATTTTATGAAAAGCGGAGCGTTGTATGAGTCATCGGAGTAGTGGAGATACAACCTTAGAGATAACTCAATTTTCTGAAAAACTGAGCGTTGCATGTGTCGTCAAAGTATTGGAGATGGAGCCTTAGAGATCGCTCAATCTTAGGAAAAATCGAGCGTTGTATGAGTCATCAGAGTATTAGCTCAATTTTATGAAAAAGTGAGTGTTGCATGAGTCATCGAAGTATTGGAAATGGAGCCTTAGAGATAACTCAATTTTATGAAAAGCGGAGCGTTGTATGAGTCATCGGAGTAGTGGAGATACAACCTTAGAGATAACTCAATTTTATGAAAAACTGAGAGCGTTGCATGAGTCGTGAAAGTATTGGAGATGGAGCCTTAGAGATCGCTCAGTTTTCTGAAAAACTGAGCGTTGCATGAGTCGTGAAAGTATTGGAGATGGAGCCTTAGAGATAACTCAATTTTATGAAAAACGGAGCGTTGTATGAGTCATCGGAGTAGTGGAGATACAACCTTAGAGATGACTCAATTTCATAAAACATCGAGTGTTTCATATCTCTTGATTTTTCGTAAAATGAAGTATCGCAAAGAATGTTACACGAGTCGCCTAACACTAATCTCAGTCCAGATACAGTTGTTTTCCACTTGTCATAGTTGCACAACAGTTGTCTTTACGTTACAAACGGTGTGAACTTATTGCCATATTCACTAATCATGTCCAGTCACACTTTGTTATCGCCACAAAGCATCGTTACAACCTATCACACGAAAAACACTCGACAGCACGGACTCTAACGACGACAATTCTCTTCTTTTTTTTTTTTCAATTACCTCACACGTTACGATTACACGTGACGACGAGGGTGGAGTGTTGGGGAAAGATCGAGCGTAATTCTACAGGTTGAAATTGCATCAGTCTATTTTCCAATTACTCTTGCTGATCTCGATTCGAATGGAATTGGGAATATATCGATTGTTCGATTACACGCGCTCGCGCACGCGCCAGCCCGCGTTACACCTTCGTTCGTCAAATTTATTTTCACCGGTGAAATGAAATGGCAATTGCGAGCACGAGAATGAGTAGCCTCCGAGTTCGACTGTGTGTGTCGGCCGGTGCATATATTTAAAATTAAAGGAGCATTCGTTACGCGCGGTTCTTTCGCCACCGCCGCCGGTTTTGTTCAGCGAAATTATCCGTCTCCGATTAGATCGATCGCGTTGCATAATACGATTGAACAGTCCGATACGAAGTGCAAAGCAACATTTACACGTGGAATATCGATTTATTCGTCCTCCATTTATCTCGCTTCAGGAAGATAAATTACAAATGCGGTCAAAGTACTTTGTCGGGTAATATGTGAGTAATAAAGAGCAAATGTAACGAAATCTCGGTCGGAGCACGCTTCAACAAACGGGGAGTTCCCCCGGTTTCGAATGATTAAACATCATGCATGATATTTCGATTAACGATATGAATTAAGTGGACACGGATAGGGAAATTATTTCTCCGCTTCGCGATAACTTGCTAATAGACCGTTATGATAAAACATAGCCTACGATATAACCGCAAATCCTTTTGCGAAAATGCGCTCGAGCCAATTTAAAGAACTGCCCGACAAACGAGCGACACGTGTCGTATTAGCATAATCGTACGTGCAATTTACGTAAATAACGTACTCTACTTACGTTCACTGTTTTTATCACCATTTCTTTCGATTCCGGATTAATCGTGCTCCATTCACTGGCGTAGCACAGTCTGTCGCGTGTGAACACCTGAAACAGTAATCAGCACAACTCTTCTTTTTTGTCTTTTCTCGTTTGAAATAAGAACGAATGTGAGGAAGATTGAATCGATATGTAATAATAAAGAGGAAAGCAACTGGACATATCCGTTTGTTCGATTACTTGAGAGACGACCGTCAATTTATGCGAATGAAGTTGCGCGGGTCCATGCATAACGATAAATCATAAATTCTACAGGTATATTGCTCTTACGTAACAGCCGTACGATAAATTGATGCGGTGCAATGTTATCGGTGAAGGTACGGGGCATCGATATCAAAGGAAATCAAATTAATTCCCATAGTAGAATTATTCTGATGGAGAAAAACCGAACTGTCCCCCTCTATCCGTTACTTTCCATTCGACCTTAATTAATTACATCTCTCGGTGATTAGTTGTAGTTGAATTACACGGTCCCGGGGTTAATTATTACAATGTCTATACGGTTCGAATCTCTGCCGCATCGGTAAACGTTCCGGATATCCAACGGAAAGTATTAAACGCAGTATGTTGTTCGAGTGCATCTGCTAATTAGTTAGAAATTTTCGCCAATGCACCAGTACTAGCTGCCTCGACGAGCGTGCTCCAAGTGAGGAGAGAATAGTGGGAAAGAAGAGAGGAAGAGAATCAGAGAAAGGAGAGAAAGAGACAGAGAGACAGACAGAGGGAGAGAAAGGAGAGGAGGGAGAGACAGAGAAAGGAGAGCAGGAGGGAGAGACAGAGAAAGGAGAGGAAAAAGGAGAGAAGGGAGAGCAGGGGGAGAGACAGAGAAAGGAGAGAAGGGAGAGCAGGAGGGAGAGACAGAGAAAGGAGAAGAAAGGAGAGCAGGGGGAGAGAAAGGAGAGCAGGAGGGAGAGACAGAGAAAGGAGAGAAGAAAGGAGAGAAAAAAGGAGAGAAAGGAGAGCAGGAGGGAGAGACAGAGAAAGGAGAGCAGAAAGGAGAGACAGAGAAAGGAGAGGAAAAAGGAGAGAAGGGAGAGCAGGAGGGAGAGACAGAGAAAGGAAAGGAAAAAGGAGAGAAAGGAGAGCAGGGGGAGAGACAGAGAAGGGAGAGCAGGAGGGAGAGACAGAGAAAGGAGTGGAAAGGAGAGCAGGGGGAGAGACAGGGGAAGGAGAGCCAGGAGGGAGAGACGGAGAGAAACAGGGAGAAGCTAAAGAAGAAAATGAAAAAATAAAAGCAGAACAGTTGAAGGGGGTAGGCTAACTGAAATCGAAACGAAGCTTTGCACTTTCCCTTCCCGTCAAGTAATTTCAAGAGTGCCTAAACGCGAAGGCGATACCTTCCTCCTCCCTCTCCCCATCTTCGTCCTTTTCTCTTTTTCCTTCCACCTGCTATGCATTCGTTATATACGGAACTGTGATTCGGGGCATTCGAGCGAGAGAGCCGGCACAACAGGACGGCTTTACGAAATGGCCAAGCTTATAGAAAATCCTGCGAAAGGAAGCAATTCGCCGAGCCGAAAAGGATTCGAAGCTCGAATCTCTACCCCCCGTTCTCTTCGAACAGGGGAAAAAGAGGGAGGGAGAGAAGTAACGGGGATGAGGCGAGAGAAGCACTAAGGGAGGCTGGTGTGTATTCCAAAACGCAGGCGCCTCGCTGGATGATTGCCAAAGAGCGTAACATCGGTGGGAGCGCTCATTATGAAAGTTGATACGGTCGGTGTCGTTGTTTTGTAATTCTCCGTTGCCTCGAGCCCCGACATCGCCGCCACCCAGCGCCTTCTTCTTGCTCGACGTTGTCGAAAGTTTCGAATTTCCTGCTAGCTACTGCCGTTGTTTGTATAGATTGCTTGGTCAAACGGCAGCCAGCTGTTTTGTCTATATACTGGCGCCCCGGCAAAGAAGGGACGCAATAACACAGCGCGGATTGATTTCTTGCTGTCTACGAACTTCCAAATCCGCCCTTCCTTCTTATCGCGTTCACAAATATTTCTTTCGCTATTTTTTTTCTACCTTATTCGCAAATTTACACATTTAAAAAAAAACAAACACGTGTTTCTATGAAAATTCAAATTTAAAGGACAAATTTATGAAATTTATTTTGTTGGTGAAAAATTAAGTACTACAGTTCGAGAAATTTTGGCATTTAAATTTCCAACTTACGAAATAAATCATAAAAATCAATGGTAAAGTAAGATCGACTTTAATCGTCTACTTGATATTCCGGAATTAATCGACTTAAGAGTACGAAGATTGAATAAATTTTAGAATGCGACCTTTTGCAAAACTTCCAGTTTCCTGGAATATATCGAGCATCGATTTGGTATCAACGTAGACGCGCTAATTAGATTAAGAACACAGTCACTGTGTGTCCCTTATGTAACAGATACTACAGGTTAGCTAATTACGGGTTAACAGATGTCTGATCGCAGAAATCCATAATCTACTTAGAAAGGTGGCGTCAACGTAACAAAGACCTTGCACACGCCAAGTACAAATCTATACTGTTCCGAACTGCACGAAAGCGTGTGTGTATATTACGTAAGTGCGTGCAGATCTCGTTAACTTGTACGGAGCGGCATTTCGCCAAATGTTCTTACGTAGGCAACAAACGCAACCGCTCGTGACTTTATACCTTTGCTTGTTACTATAAATGTAGTTGCAAACGAATTTACCGACTGCTCGACATTTGGCATTAACCTTGAAATAAGTGAAAAAGATGAGTTTAAAAAAAAAGTTAGAAATCGAGGGAAAAGGCGAAAAGGTCGTTTCGATAAGGTCGAAAGGGAATGAATAATTTTGTAAGATATCCGTGAGAGCGGTAGCCGCGTAAAAAATCGATAAGTTGAACCGTGGGTAAGCTACGTCAAGGTTAACATTTCCACCAACATTTCTCTAGTTTCATCAGCCAGTAAAAACTACTCCGAAATTCCCAGAAGCTCGAGCGACTATAGCGCGCTGACGCGGTTGTTACACGAACTAGAACGAACTTGCTGGAAAATGTAGAACCACGAGGCGAATGGAACTTTACCCGTACCAATTGCTCGTGCATTATGTCGAATGATTAGACTTCCTGATGGACTGTAATCGAAACAAACAAATATGTCCGAAACATGCGGCTTTGAATGACAAATATGTATCAGTATGTTTTACGATTCGAAATGCTTTAGTTGTTTTTACGCTTGTGTCTTTACACACGCGATAAAAGCAAAGTATTGAAATTGGCAATAGCCCGACTAGTGCTTTATAATTAAGTCGTTATACCGATAGAACACTTTTAACAATTAAATCTGATAAGAAAGAAATGTAACCAAGAAGAATGTATATTTTTCGGTTGAAATATACGAATAATCGAATGCCGTATCTTTCGAAAAGATATTAAAATTTATAAATAACGCGGAATTGTATTTGCAACTGTACCATATAGCAATTGTACAATATAATACAAGTGCTATAGTATACCACTGTACATTCAATCACATGACCAAATTTCGATGAAAATATGTTAGAAATATATTTAGAGAGTGATACGTCACTCAGACTTTATTATACTCGATACATTAATTCGAACAACATAAGGTTACAAGTCGTAGATGTGCAATTTCATTGGATAGGTTATGTTCATCGGTATGTAGGGCAAATAACCTTAACAAACAGCGATTGGAAACACTTACCCGAAATAGTCCAGAAGGAAATGTCCAGTGTGTGGTGATCAGTCTGTGGGAATAAAGGATACCATTCTTGATCCTTCTGTCGATGACATCGGTTCCCCGAACGGATGGATTTAAAGGATTCGGATACTTTCTACAGGCTGCTTTTACTACTGTTTCCCACGGATGGCTACAAATATAAAGCACATTGATATTTTCGATGTTGAACAAGTTTATTTTTTATGAATAATAAAATGTATTCCATTTCCACATCCTAGCCTTGAAAGTTGTAAATTAGTAAACTTGAATAAACGATACTTACTCGAAAGTGTGATGCGATGTCCACAACTTCATGTTTACAGAATTTTTCTAATACGAACGTACGGTTAACACTATAATTTAAACTATTAACAATCACGTTAAAAGACACTACACTTCGACACTGCAAGACGCGTCTACTAACTTCGAAACCTGATGTACCTCAAAAGATCGTACAAAAGGTCTCCAATGAACTTTAATCTTTCATCACACGTCAATCGATCAACAGTTGGTATGCCTGCTTCCAGCGACCAATCACGCTTTCTCAAGTTCAAGCTGATTGGTCGACTGTTCGAGCAGTACTATTCAACAATTCAAAAGTGCAGTTCTCCCGCCAACTCGCGCTCAATTCGGTTGAAATTCTTATCGCGGGTGTAATAAGTTATAACTTTGTTCGAATATTAAAACCATTCGTTTTGTTGTTGCGAATTTCGGTTAAACAGTGTTTTTTACTATTTAAAAAGTTTTATCTATCGTTTATATTTCCTATAGTATATTGCGTATTTTTAAATGTTTTCATTGTGCCCGGGAAGGTCGTTGACGCTGTGTATAGTCAATCAGAGTTAAAAGTGCTTAGTTGATGTGGACAGTGTAAATTTTCGTGAATGTTTATTGTTTCGGGAAGTTTTAAGTGTTATATAAGTAAATTAGTAATGTTTGAATGTTTGTTTTGTATATTTTGAAGTGGGACATTTGTTCAACAAAGTGAGACAAATTGACATTGCAAGAACAATAATTTATATTGAAAAACGTGTTTTATTGTTAAAAGTGTTGTGCCTAAACGTGCCTTTGGGATTAAGCTGCCTTTGAAGGAGTAAAGGACTTAGAAATCTTCCAGAAAGAAGTCAACATGCTGCAGACCAGGTGGTAAGCGAGTTTTTACAGTTTCCTCTTTTCGTAATATGTTTTCTTCTTTGTACCCTACAAAGAGTAACAGAAGAAGATGTTGGAATTTTACATTGAATGTTCAATATCTTACCAAAACTAGAATGAAGTTTTTGTTGTCCTGATCTGTCTCTAATATGTAATGGTACTGTAGGTTGTGGACCTTTATGATTCATAATAATATTTTCGGCTGACTTTAATGCATTATATACAAGCCTAGATTTTGGTGCTCTAGTTAAGTATACAACACATTGTGCTAAAATAACATCACATTCTGGCATTCCAATCATTTGGCATCCATGCAGAGTATGAACAGCAATGCCTGCAATTAAAAATTAATTATTTAAATCCTATTATTTGTTGCATCATCCCATTATGTTACCATATACATATGTACCTAAAGCATCAGGATCTGCTAAACCAACTTCTTCACTGGATATTCTTACCAATCTTCTTGCTATATCCACAGGATTTTCTTTAATTGCCATAATTCTTGCTAGCCAATATAACGATGCATTTTGATTACTAGCTTTTATCGATTTATGTAGTGCTGAATATAAGTGATGTGTATTGTTAGTTTGCTTATCAGATAACATATGTGCATGCTTAAGACTTTCTTTAATATCTTCAAGGGTTATCGGTACTAGATCAGAAAGATTTGGTTCGTTTGATACTTTGGTTCTAACTGCTAGCTCTAAGCCATTTAATGCTACACGTGCATCTCCATTGCATACTTCTGCTAACCAGTCAATTACTGTTTTATTGATAGAAAAATGTGGCTTAGAACTACAACTTAATTTATTTTGTGAATTACTTGACAAACTAGTCTTTTTTAAATTATATATTTCTCCATTAATAGATGTAATTGCTTTACAAAGTATTTCCACAATATTTGGCTCTGTTAATTTATTTAAGGCAAATACACGACATCTACTTAACAAAGCAGAATTTAAACTATAAGATGGATTCTCTGTAGTTGTGCCAATTAATGTGAGTGTGCCTGCTTCAACATGTGGTAAAAAAATATCTTGTTGGAGCTTATTAAAACGATGTATTTCATCCATAAATACAATAGTTTGATGGTTTGACTTTAATCCATCTTTCGATGCACTAACAATATCTCTTATATTACCCACACCAGAGGATGTTGCAGACAATTTTGAAATATGCACTTTATCTCCATATATTCTTTTACATAACTTTGCTATTATATTAGCTAAAGATGTCTAGAAAATATTTTGATAAATAAGTGTCATTAAGAATTAAAAGCTGGAGGCAATTAATAATTATATTACCTTTCCACATCCTGGTGGACCCCAAAGTATTATGCTGGGAATATGTCCTTTTGTTAGTAACTGTTGTAATACTGTATTAGAACCAACGACTTGTTCTTGACCTATGTAGTCATCCAGACATGCAGGTCTCATTTTTTCAGCAAGAGGAACATGTTCTTTGTTCGACATGGTTTTCCTTTGATTCAGACTTGTTATATTTGTCACTGCTTTGTGTTTCTTTGGTGGCCTTCTTTAATTAGCTTCCTCATAAGGAAATTTGGTCTTGACGATGTTTCTTTTGTATTAATCGAGGAAACAGACAAATTAATGTGATCACTTATATCATCTATAGAATAGTACTTGTTACATACAGTGCACAACATATTCAAATTTTTTTATACATTATTTAATATATTATTTACATTAGAATAATTATTAAAATATGCTATCAACCTTTGGTCTTTTTTATCTTATGATATTTTATTTTCGTTTAATTTATAATTTTCAAAACTGTTGTTTATCATTAAAATTACAATGATTTATAACAAACAAAAACGGAAATTAAGCGCGTCTCGCGTTTAAAATTTTTTATTTCCTCGTATTTTCTCCGTAATTCCGAGAAACGGGCGACAAAATAAATCATAGCGCCACCTAGCATTCGTTGATTACATTTGTGTATAAAACACGCCTGGATGCATTCATGGTTGACGAATTACTCTCTAATTTTAATTCACATGACAGATTATATTTCAAGGTAGAAATTCAGATAATGTTCTTTCATGTAAGTTCAGAATTAGGACAAAGGTCATAATACTCTGTTTTATCAATAAACAATATTTCTTTACAGAACATTATACACCGACAGAATTAATTGTTCACTTCATAAACATGTCAAATGTATGGAATAAAAACATTTACCGCCAAGAACAAGAAGCATTTGTTTCTGGTCATGGTGGGACAACATCCAGAGAAGTTATATATGCAATCATGCCGAACATTTGTAGCATTCTTTTAACTACTACTACAATGGGTCTCTTAGGAAGGGTTATTCATAAAAATATTAGAGTTGTGCTAGAATTTGCATTAATTGTAATCCCATCTATTTTATGCTGTACAATATTATCCGAGTATATTATAACAGTGTGTTGTGCTATGATGGTGATATCTATTATCAATATTTTATTACTGGGACTTAATTCGAATACTTTATCAACTTATAATATAAAGTCTGCTTGTGGTAAAAGACCTTTCATTACAAACTTCAGAGCATTAATTAGTATAATAACAGCAATATGTATATTAGCCATAGACTTTCACATTTTCCCCCGCAAATTTGCTAAAACAGAGGTGTTTGGTTATAGTTTAATGGATACCGGTGTTGGATTATTTATATTAGCTAATGCTTTAGTAGCTCCAGAAGCCAAAGACTTTGCTCCTAGATCCAGAATAGGTTTCTTCCTTACTATATCGAGAAACATAAAACATTCAGCAAGAAGTTGCATTCCACTTCTGATTCTAGGTTTCGGTCGGTCTGTTGCCATTGAGGTATTAGGATATCAAAAGCACGTAACTGAATATGGCATTCACTGGAACTTTTTCATAACCCTTGCTTTTGTGAAATTATTTACTAGTTCTATAACAAGCACCATCAATTCAAAGTATTCACTATTATCAGGGATCTGGATTCTAGGAATGCACGAATATATTTTAAGTACCAAAGGGCTGAAAGAATGGGTGTTAAGCAATAGACCTAGGAATGATTTTGTATCTGCTAATCGGGAGGGAGTGGTGTCTGTGCCTGGATACGTTGGCTTGTACTTGATAGGTGTAGCAGTTGGTAGATTAATTCACTCCACTTATCAGAATTCATACGCACAAAATTCACTGCAACACAGACACAAAACATTTCACATTAAACTGTTTGGATACGAGTTTGACGCGAGTTACAACGAATCAATGATTCTGTGCATTAAATTGTCCTTGATATCAGCTCAAACTTGTGCAGCCACCTTATTCTGTGATTCATATTTTCGTGTATCGAGGCGATTAGCAAATGCGGGATATTGCATGTGGATACTTACCCTGGGCGTTATGATACTTACATTACTGTTACTCATAGAAATACTTTCTGATATACTAATTCATGCAACCACAGACACAGAACACACCGAAAGGAGGACGAGAACCCACAGAATGAACGTAAAAAGCAAACGAGAAAGCGTGTCTGACGGTAACGAGAGAAACGTGATTAAAAATACCATCGAAATATTCGAAGCTGTTAATTACAACGGTTTACTCTTCTTTCTGTTATCAAATTTAACGACCGGCGGTATTAACATGTTAGTACGTACGTTACACGTTAATCAGTTAAGAGCTTTGCAAATATTGATCGCATACATGGCTGTAAATATAACATCGGTTTTATTATTATATAGAAAACAGGTACAAATTAAGTTATAAAAATTCCTTGTACCGATTGCACCTCGCCCGGGTGTGCAATCTTTTTTACATTGTAACACGTATGTATACAAGTGAGATTAAATCCACGCATCGATTTAATATATATTTCCACTGCCACATGCGTAGACATATCAAAATTGTATACCATAATTATTGCTCCTTCGTTTCTTTTTTATTAAAATAATTATGTACATATATCTGTATAAAAATAAGTAAGTAAACAAAAAAAGAGAAAGAAAAAAAAAACACTTAGCTGGTAACAAGTCGTTTCTTTCATTTAACATTCACTCTAAGAATTATCGGGGACTATTATTATTAAAAAAAAACACACACACACACATTCGTTGTGATCGAAATAAATTTGCCTAAAACGTTCATCATAATTCATCTTTGGGCTGAACGTCAAGCTTCAATTCGATTTCCTCCTTCGATTTAGGAGTTTCGATCTCTTCAACATCGCCAATCGTTCTACTCTGACTCTTCGTTTCCGCCCTTTTACGCTCTGCTCGGGTGTTGATGAATTTTTTAAAAGAACCGTGATTTTCCACGTAATCCTTCGCTTGAGAAACTACGCGTAAAAATTCCTTCACGTCGAAGCTGTAGTTGGTGAATTTTGCATGAGCTCCTCCGTCAGGATGCGTACCCTGTGCGCGTAACATTCGATTTATTCTCGCAAGAAACGCTGGGATACAAAAGAAAAAGAAAAAAAGGTTTTCGTCAAAGTGGAATTTCTTACGGGATCTTGTTGCACCAGCTTCGACGTGTTTTCCCACGTGAAGTACTTTACGCCGCGTAAACGAGCGAGATCCTTGTAGCATCCTGGATCCTCGCAGTTATATCTGAAGAATAATCACGCATGAGACGTGTCCCCCCCCGGAGATAAATATTCCGACACACTTACATCTCGAACACAGCCGCCCAATCCGGGAGGAACATAAGATGCGTCAATCCAGCGCCGTGTATGCCTATCAAAATATCCGAATTCCTCGTAATTTCTAGCTGCTTCTTGAACGGCACCTTCTTGTTGTAAACCACCTGAGACAGAGAAATCGCGATCTTCCATACCGTCTTGTATTTTATTCAAAAACCCTCGGAATTTTCGTTACCTTTCTCACTTTGTACTCCGGATTCTCTTTCAGCGCCTTTAGCAATTCATCCTCGTTTAAAATTCTTCTGTACTGAGTGTCTCTGCTGAGCAGAGTAACTCGTACCCTTTGGTTCTTCCTCTCGTGCAGAGGTATACGTAGCCTGTGCAGCACATGATCGCCGAAAGCTTTGAACAGTCCGCTGTTCTCACAGCCGTAAATCTGGGGAACAAGTATGCGTTGGTCTGTGAGAAATGTCTAAGTCGCGGTATCGAACGTGTGTAGTCGTGTAAAGAGAAATTTCGCGATCGTACGAGCGGTGTGTTGTAGTAAAGGCCGAAAATCATGCGTGGCAGTAACGGAAAGACGAGATTCTTGAAGCATACGGTCTCTCCGCGGAACGTTTTCAAATCCCACAGCGGGTTTCTCGTGAACGCCTCGAACGTCTCTTGGAACGCAGAACGATAACTGAAAGTGAGAGAAGTGCTGGTGATATCTAGCGACCGGTTGGTGTTTCTTGTTGCGCCGGTGTGTCGGTTACCTGTAGCTTTCCCAGATCATTATATGATTATCAGTGGTGAACGCGGCGGGGTGCGAGAGATTTACGTGCAACGAGGCGTACAAGTTGAAAAAGTCGCAGAAATGATGATACATGTTTACTACTGAAACAGAACCACTTCTTCTAATGAGCGAGACCTCGATGATTTTACATCGCTGTAAAGTCCATTCCTTCGCGACTTACTGGCGTCTATTTTCATAATGTACGTAGGCTTCTCGACGACGATATCGCAGTCACCGTTCACGATCGGCGGACGAGGTAGCTTTCGAAAATTTCGCAGCTCCGGTCCCCAGGACTGCAACGGGCTAATGTGGTCCGCGTTCTCTTCCAGCCTTTTCTCGTTCAATCTGACAACACAGAGATGAATAGGATGCAGAGGTTTGTTCGAACGTGACGCCGTTCCTCGGTGAATTTTTCTCTGTTTCACTGACGTGCAATATCCACCGATTTCACCCTCTTTCAACACGTCCATCTTGTATCTGATGGGCTCGTTTCGTCCAAGTAAATCCGTGAAATTGATCATCACGTTTCTTGCTCGGCAGAATCTCATGTGCTCCGAGCATTCGAGGGATGAATCGTCCTACGATTGAGAAATTAGAGAACATGCAAAATTCGTATTACCGCTTTCTATATACCCAACTATCGGTTAAAAAGCAACGAATTAAGGGTTAATTAAGACGTGAGACTTACCACGAACAATGGCTCGCAGAAAATTGACATTTCTTTCCTTTGGTCGCGCACGTAGCCGAAATCGCCTTGAGCGTAAAACGTCTCTAATTGAGCTTTTTTCGTGGTCACCCATCCTCTGTGATCACCTGGACATTGAGGAACGGAAAAAGAATTTTCGTCTTTGCAATTCGGCTCGTAACCCCAACAAGCTTTGGTATCAAGGCTATCCTAAGTTTTTCCAACAGAAATTCTCCATTAATGCCGTTTCCAATTGTGTCGCTATTCTTCGCGCGTGAAAATACCCCAGGAAAACACCGTCAGGTGAAATTTTTCACTGTCAACTTTCTCAAAAACTTGATTTTCTAAATCTGCAATTGCATCTTTCCTCTTTGATCAGCGTTTAAAATCAGAAATAATACACCAGAGTGAAATTTCATTCACGATTAACCCCTCAAGTGCCGGTCAGAAGCAATTATTTTCAACAATTGCAGCCGACCGAGAATGTTCATTCACCTCCAGACCTCTCGTTTCTGTTTTAATTCGTTCTACCACAACGTGTTACTCGAATGAATTCTTCAAACACTCAAAGGGTTAACACCATTTCTCTCTACCACAGCTTCGAAGCAATAATAGCAAAAAGAAAAAAAAAAACAGAAAGAAGCCAACGAACATAAACGAAACGCTGAACGGTACTTCCTTAATTAACAATAATTCTTAACGCGTTATCTAATACACCGCGTATTACCTTGTACGGACAGGCGGTATTATTGCGGCACTCTTCGGTCACCGTGGGAAATGAGTTGAAGTAATACTTGATGTGATCAGACGGCAGATCGATGTACGTGTAATTACTGTACGTAGTGGTGACCGCGAACACCATCACGATCGTCACTGTGCATTTAATAGATAACGTGTTATCGAACATCATACCGGGTCGCACTAACGAAAATGATTAACCGGGATTCCCTGAGTGAGAGCAAGGTGTCGTGCACTCGCTGTACGGAGTGACTGTACCGGTGTGAATGGAGGAGGAAACCACCTGTACGAGTGGATGGGTATATGACCTCACCTACTCTGCGTACTCTGCGTCACACATACACGAACGCTCGTACACCCACACGTCGAAGAGCGTGGCTCCTTAAAAGAATGGGTGAAAGTCAATGCTAAAGTTAAACCACATTTCATCCTCCTTACATCATTCGTCGTCTCTACTTGATCAGTACACACACGTATATATAGATATATATATACCTACCTCTAGCTAGCCTTGAAAATTTCTCACCGTGGAAAGAAACGTTCTAGAGGGACGTCTTTTTATTTTCGAAATCATACCGGCATTTTTTCGGATAGACCCTGTATCGAATCGGGAGGTAAGGTGAATGTAGCTTGTACCGTTCGAACCAGATGAAACGAAACGTCGAGGTGTACTCACGCGTGTCGAATAGAACGGATATCCTAGAGTTTTCTCACCTCTCGCCACTCTCGGAGAGGAAACTACGAGGTATAGGCATTTCACTTCACTTTCACACACCGACGACCCTGTTTTCGTCGTTGTGTTGTGTAGTTTCAATATGGCCGAACACTGTCACAATCTCGCGGAGGAGGGAGCACTTTTCGTCGGCCGAATATTCTCGACATTGCTCGTCGAACGTGATCGATCGAGTCAGTTGAATTAGGAGTTTGCCTCCTTTGGGGGGGATTTGGAATGTTGCTGCTCGATCCGTGAGGATTTTAATTTGTTTAGATTAATGTTTGAATTCTTGTGTTACGACACCTCCCCACACGTGACGAAGCGAACGGTCCAAGTTAGCCACCTATCGGAGTATAGCAATTTCATTCGTGTGCTTTCTTTGCTACGGATGAAAAGATACTTTTCTGTGTTGGCAAAATTCGATAATACGGTTTCTTTATCATCGAGCGCTGGTAAAGGGTTGCCTGCTGTTCCCTGCGTTATTCTAGGTAGGTATGGCTACTCCATCTGGAGATCATTCTTACCAGCGAAAGGTAGAGTAGCGTATCAGAGGAGATAGTTCACACGAGTCAAGTATAGTTCTCATTTTCATACGTATCAATGACATTTTTCATTCGTGAAATTGAAATGGGAGATAGCCAAAGTATCCGTCAAAAAATTAAGTAAAAAATTTGAAAAAGTGCAACGGAAGAATTTGAGAGTTTCTCTTGGAGAATTTGACGAGTTGAATGGTATTTGTTGAATAGACTGGCGTTCGTCAGATTCGATCCTAAATGTGTATTCCTAACTTGAGACAGCAAGTCCTCCTATAAGGAATCATTCCAGCACGGTGGGACAATTGTCTAACGTCAGCGCAGAGTGATGGCTTCCGTTATTCAGCATGTTTGTACGCAAAATAAACGCGGTATCGACTCTCGATAAGCCCACGAGACGCACCTTATGCTAATTCCACGTGGATAAGTCAAAAACCGTCTCGACGTATACGGTAGAGACAGTTCGATCTTCTGCTCGTTGAGGCGTGGTCGATGTAGATCGTATCTTCGCAGTTTATACGATTTTGTGTGCTCGTCGAAGAGAGAGAGAGAGAGAGAGAGATAGGATTCGAATCGAAGGATCTCCGGTTGAAATACACCGAGTCCCACACTCGGGAGTTAGGCATGAATCGTTGCGTAATCTGGAAGACTCGGATAGCTGCAGTTCTTGTTACTCGCAGGTGTCTTTATTGGTTCGCCGAGAAAATCCTTTCTATGCAATTAAAGCCAGGTTTGGTGTGCAGGTTTCATTGTGGTCAACAAAAGGAACACGCTTCCATAACACATACACACACACGCGTATGCGAATGTTAAGAAAGTTATTTATTTAGTACAACCTGGGCTCCTTTCTAATTTCATTTTCGTATATATTCCACACGCCGCGACCGTGCTGAATTGGATAAACACTTAATGTACGTGGGAACACAATGGACGGTGGAACTTACAATGAAAACTTTACGTTTCGAAATACGCTCAAGCTATAAAACCGAGATACACTACCGTTTCTTCTGACCCGAACTTTTACTCCGTATACCATTACAGAGAACGTTCGAAGAGAAAGAAGTGAAGAAAAAGGAGGAACAATCGGTAAATAGAACTGGGTAGTAGTAATCGGTACGATCTTAATCGTTAACGAATGCACACGCGAACCAAGGAGAATTAAAACGACGTTCTCGTCGATCTTCTTTCGCTAGCTGTGGCCGTTTATCGATAATTCACAAATCAATGCTAATCGATGCGAGGGAGTCGAGATATCGGGGATACAAACGGACAATAGCGTTGTACAGGCGTATATAGTACCTCCGGCGTCAACCTGCCATGGCGTGACCCGGAAACGGATCGCGTCGAACAGCCTCCTATATGTATGTATATAGAAATACACGTATACATCAGAGCAGAGAGACATACCGTAATGCTCGAGAGCATGGATCGCCGTGGATAGATGGAGGGAATGATCTACATCGATCACGATCACAGGCACCCTCAGCCCTGACCGCGCGCGCGGTTTACAACGGTACCTCTTCGGTTGTCCATTATCGACGAAATCGCCGTCATCTTTCTTTCTGATAATTTTATCAATGGACGAATCGCCTGGCTTTTGTACAGAGTGCGTATGTATATGTATATACAACGCTCGCGTTCTACGATCTGATCGATCGGGGCTCGATGGTCTGGTGAAAAATGCCGTTGTGTCGGGGAATTGCTGAATCGAGCCGCCTCCGACCCACGCCTCCGAAGAACGGAATAATGGCCGGTAACGGAGCATTTGTATGATCAATTTCGCGACAGGATTGCGTAACGGGTTTGATAAACGGGCCTCGCGTGGAAGTGTAACACGTAGAAATGTGGCGTGCAAGTTGTAAAACGAGCGCGTGGCATCGGTGTAACGCGGATTGTCCCGCCACGGTGGCGCCACGCTTCACAGGCGACACGATGCAACCTACGCGGTGAATTCACCGCCATATAATGTCCCTCATAGAGAACCTCTTAGGGTTCCTCCCGTTCCTATATAACAACGAACAAGGAGAAAACCGTGTGGGGGCGGCGCGTCACCGAGCAATTGCAACGGGTGTTCTTGCGAAACGAGAACATGCGGCGCAGCACCCACGCTGCACGGGAAAAAATTCGGCGGATACAAATTTCCCCGGATGCACGTATACTTTTCGTCCACGCGTTACACGTGTGTACGGATGGGATACCTCTGAGAGGCAAGGCTGAAACTTTCGAGGGAAAGAATTCTGCGTTCCTCCGTTTGGTGTAGGTTCCACGGGCCCAGGACGAATAGTTACGTCTATCAACCTGCACCGAAGTGTGCAACGCGTCGTATATTATCGTACAGTATCTACCTGCGTCTTTTCTCTTTACCACCCACGCGTCCCATTTGAATACGTATACAGACATAAAGTGTAACGATTGTCGTCCCTTCTGGCCGGATAAAACGTTCGGTTATCGGTAGACAATGCTTTGTAGATCCTCGGAACAACAATCGTAAGTGCACGCGTTACTGCCTGTAAAGTAACTGGCGTAAATCGTGGATTTTTTTCTTCACCGGATCGGGACAATCCGTTCAATAGGCACGATCCGGGCCCTTTGGAGCTTGCGTATCGGTCGTTTTTCGTTGAAAATCATTGAACCGGCTGGGTCTGCTGCTGTGAGTTAGAGCGGAGGAAAGATCGTGTGGTAGGCACGTAGCGGTAAAATCGTGATATTGAAAAGGAAAAAAAAAACGAAACTCGAGGAACTCTATCGGTACACGCAAAACGCACGTTTACACTTAATCATTGCTACGATTGGTACGGAGTAGAAGAAAAAAAGGAAGGAATACCACACTTCATCATCGTCGCGTGATAATTTCGAAGCCGCAAACAGCCCGAGATCTTTCGAAATCTTCGATTTACAGTGTGAAGTACCTATGTAACAGATCGCGCGGTAATTGAGAAACCGAGATCTAATCTATCCACATTTATAATGAACTGAATTAGAATCCGATTATCTCGACTGCTTCGGACCCGGCTTCGTTCTCGTCTGGAATAGAAATTGCCCGGCGGCGTTCGACGCACCGCGGCAAAGAAATTCCATCACACGCTAGCCTCTCGTTAGTGACGCTGGACTAATCGCTTAATTAATAGATGATAAATGTTTGTAATTCCGTTGCCGAGTCTATACCCCTCTCTACCACCGTGCATCGTTACCGCGGCCAATTAATTACGCAAGGGGAAGGTGCGATTAAACGCGGGAGACCTGCATCCGACGCGCGAGGGGGGACAAACGGAGAGGAGGAGAAGAAAAGGGTCATCTTCCGTCGTGCATGAAACGTAAAGGACCACTCTGTAGGACCTCCTCGAATTTTCTTCACGGCCACCACAACCGAACGATTTATCCTCGGTTTGCACAGTCGAGGTCACGGGGTTACGGTTCCTGATGTCTTGCGCATGAAAAAACCGCGCGAACCTTAAAATATCGCATGGGGGCTGGCGAAGTGAGTTTAAGGTTTCCTTCGTCCACCGAGAAGGATCCTTAAATTCAACACGCGGCCGTATTCGAGAGCCGTGACTTCGAATAACTCTCGCAAAGGCAACGCGCATAAAACACCTCTTTCATTGAAATTAATTTCAATTGCCTGGCCGCGATCGCTTTATACCAGGCAAGTTAACGGCGCGGATCGCTGTGCATAATCAACTGGGTGGAAGAATGCTGCTGCGGCGATGTGTCCGTTCGATCTTGCATTTTTCCGATATTCAACGGCGGAGAGAAAGAGAAAAAAATGTACGCGCGTGTCTGGCTACCTTGACTTAACGACGATGAAAAATTGCTCGGCTCATCGATCAGGAAATAATAACGATAATACGGGAAAGAGGGTGATAAATAACAGTTCAATCGTGATACACGCTGAATTGACTTTCCTTTCTATACCGTTACTCTACACTTGCGGTTGACACCGATTTCGCATTGTAAGCAGTCATAAACACACGTCGCGCTCGTAATAACTACATAGGCATAACCGTGCACATTGCGATCGAACCTTTTAAAAACAGCGACGAAGCCGCGAACGTCGATGAGATCCCAACTCTGCGTAATTCACGACAATGGAATCGACGTCGTCGTAAACAGGAAACCCATAACGATCGTCGTTTCGTCGCGATAAACCCATTTCGGTATTTCGATAGGAACTCCCCGGTTGTCACTGGCTGACACGTCTATACTGTTACAACGTCCGCCGCTCGTTACACTCACACAGGAAGAAAAACCAGCGGTATCGTAAATGGGAGTCGGTAATTGAAATATTAATGAGATACCAG